TCCAGAATTTAGGAAAAGTCTTGGGTTAATAATATAGATGTAGGAAACATTAACATACAGTTGCTTTATAACTCAACTCTGTGGTTTTTACTTTGGCCATCTTCTTTTTCCCTGACTTAATGGTGCACCTTATTCAAGTCTTGGATATCTAGAAAGAGTGCATTCTTCATGGTGTCTCCTTATATCAGTGCTGAATCATGGTTTGTGGATATCAAACAACAATGTTCAAATATAATTATTGTTCTTTTTTAAAAAAATTTATTTGTTATTGATGGACCTTTATTTATTTGTTTATATGTGGTGCTGAGAATTAAACCCAATGCCTCACACATGCTAGGCAAGTGCTCTACCACTGAGCCACAACCTCAGCCCCTAATATTGTCCTTGATCTTCCATCCCTCAATCTGCTGTGTACTTTCCATATGCCAAGCAGATATGGTAAGTGCTTTTCATACGTTATCTCTATGAAAATATTATGAGTTGGTTGAATTTTCTATTTTGTAAACGAGGAATGTTGGAAGCTCAGTGGTTGACCCAAGTTTCCCAACAACATAAATGTCAGCTAGATTTGAACCAGATCAACCTGACTCCGTGGGCCTTGCTTTTCCCTACCAACTGGGTTGCCTCTGAGTACCCAGTGACTGGTGGTTTGTTCTGCCTTGGATTCAATTATTCTTTCTCTTTCTTTGACATATAAAAGATTTCTTTTTTAAAAGTCTAAAAGTAGATATACAGAAATATTAATAGTGATTATCTCTGCATGGTGAAATAATGAATGATTTTTGTTTTCTTTTCCATACCTTATATGTCCTGAATTTTATGAAATGAACATTTATTACATTTTTAAATTAGAAACATAATGACACTCTTTCTAAATAACAGCAATGATTTTTCTCCAGCCACAGTACTATAGGTGAGCATTTAATGAAATTTTACTATTGCTTCCCACCTTCCTCCATCACGTTAATGGAAATCTTTAAAAGTAGAATTATTGATGCTTATTTTGCTTACACATGATCTTAGCCATAAAGACAAGAAGTGATGATTTTGCTTAAAGTTCACAGAGCCCTTCTGACCCATTAGGAGACATGTGTGCTATAGCATCATAGAAGGTGTATTCTCTTTTTCCCTCAACTCCTCACTTTATACAGTTAACTTCTGAGGTGAAAACTATGCATGGCAAGATGAATGGAAACTGCTGATATATCCAGAGAGCACTGGAAATATGGGGACATTATACTTTAGAAGAAGAGAGGAGAAATGAAAGGGTGAGGTTGGGAGCTCCTTCTCTTGTAACTGATGTTTCTTTTATACACAAACATATGTCAGTTCCCTTCCCCTTTGGTGTTCAGTTGACCACGGGCATGTATCCATTTAGCCTTCATAATTCTCCATCATTAAACTAGAAATGCTTTATTAGACTGGACTTATACAAATTATATCCTTAGAAATTGACAATATTTCAGACTGTGGAAAGTGTTAAACAATTGCCTTAAAAAGAAACAGCAAAAAAATGAGCATAACTTTTAAATCCCCCATTAGAAATTTTTTTGTTCTCTATAATTTCGAATTGAGCTGCTTTTAGGTTGTAGGCTTCTAATTAGAAGAGAGCCATTATCTCCATATAAAGATTTTAAAATGCCTAATAAAGGATTTTTAACTACCACTACACAATCCAGTCCAAACTCAGTTGTATACACCTTTATGGCAGGAGAACATGTGGGGGAAAAACTTTACCCTGGCTCTGTGCCCATCACCTTTTGCTTTGCAGAGCTTGGTTGTTTTACTTCTGCCCGTGTTCACCTCTGTATGCTGGGTGCTACATTAGAACTGGGGCACCCCTTGGTCATGCCACTGTAATACTTAAAAGGCACGGACTTTCCATCAGGCTTCTAGATGACCACAGAGTAATTTATTGGGGTGCCAAATGGTATCCAGGGTCACTTTGTACATGTATTTGCCAGAAGTAATGCTCTTATTCCAAGGAGATGGTCCTAAAGCTCTCAGTAGACTGTCCATATGCAGGGATTACCTATCCTTTTCCTCCCAGAGAAGAAGTTGCCAATCCTAAGAAGTAAGATTTGAAGTTTAAATGTTACTTGAAAAATTAATACTGGAGTCAACTTCTGTGTTCCTTTGATAAAGTCTGCTGAATGAGAAGTGACGTTATTTTGATTCTATAGTTTTGAATAGACCCTTAGATATTTGAGTTGTAATGGACTTTAGTGATAATCTGTGGTAAACTTTATTTTAAACATAAGCATTTAACCTTTTTCAGTTGTGTTGGCAAATAGAGTTGTTAAGAGTCAACTCCTGAAGTCTTCTAGCTTTACTCCTGTTAGGAATATAATTATAGTATTGTCTACCACTGTTTTAGTCACCTCTTTCACCACTATGACCAAAAGATCTACAAGAACAATTCTAGAGAAGGAAAAGTTTATTTGGCTTTCATGGTTTCAGAGTTGATGGATGGCCTACTCCAATACTTTGTGCCCGAGGTGAGGCAGTACATCGTAACAGAAGGATGTGGAGGAGGAAAACAGCTCAGCACATGGCAATCAGGAAGCAGAGAAAGACTGTTCTGCTTACCGGGAAGAAAATATATACACCAAAGGCACCCCTCAATGGCCCACTTCCTTCAGCTGTACCCTGAAGAAAGTTATCATCCAATTAATTCCTATCAGAGGATTAAAACACTGATTAGGTTACAACTATTATAACCCAATCATTTCACCTATAAACATTCTTGCATTGTCTCACACATGAATTTTGGGGGCACACCTCATATCTAAACCATAACACTCACCCAAATGTATAGAATCTAAAATAGATAAATTTAATCAGGAAGCCATAGTGATGAAGCCACTGGTACTCTGAGTTGTTTTTTCAATTTCTTTATCATATATTTCATTATTTAAAATGGTACTCATTAGCCAATAAAAATCTAAAATGGGAGCCACACATATAAACTAAAAATTTTCTAGTAGCCACGTTAAGGAAAGTAAAACAAATGAAATTAATTATTATAATATGTGTCACACAATATAACTAAAAGAAGATAATGTAAACATGGTCAACATAGAAATTATTGAGATATTTTCCATCTTATTTTTCTCACTCTGCACTTGATGTGTATTTATACTTACAGCACATTTCAGTTTAAACCTGCTACATTTCAAATGTAGAATAGCCACATATGGCTAGTGGTTCCCATATTGAGTATCACAGATTTAGCACATATTCACTTAAATTTTCAAATATTATGGAAGCAAACATATTAACATGGAAAAAATATTTTAGAAAGAGTTCTTAATACATTTATTTAACTAGAAAAAGAGGGTAAATTGTTGAACTTACTTAAATAGGTCAAAAGAGTAAAAATAGGTATTTCATGGCATCCTGCATCCCATATGTTGTTGGAAATATTCCTCACATATTAATAATTATAAGGTAAAAATGAGGAGAAATTAGAACATAGCCCACTCTCATTCTACTTAAACTAGGCAAGTTTTCCGTCCACAGATGTGTGTGCCATGATGATTCTCACAGGGTTATGTTGACAAAGGTTCCCAGTAGCCACAGCTTTCTAGAGGCACAGTTGTAAAGCCCTGGTTATCAGCTTGAGAGGGTGAGAGGCAGGTAAAATCCTCCAAAATTGAATCATTGCAGTAGAAAGACTCTTAAAAGGTGAGAGAGAATACTAATGGGTGGTCTGAATGTTTGAGGTTAGCAAAAAAAATATTATAAATCATCCACCTTAGATAGATTCATTATTGACGTATTTGGGACAGGAGTCTTTTCTGTGCTATTTCCTCATTTCCTGAAACTTTACATGGAAAAAACCTGTCTTTGAATTTCATTGAATCAGGATGAGTTGTTTTTACTTTTAAAGACATACTTGGGTTGAAGTTTTGGAAAAATAGCAGTCAGTCTGTCTTCATATAGTTTGTGTCATTTCTCTTAAATCTCAGTTCACTTGCCCTTACATTACCTTTAGTCAAAAAAGAGAGCTGTAGAATATGGTAAGGATAGTATTTTCTTTGTTGGTAAAACATTTATAAAAAGTTGCAAAGTAACATTTCAGCCAGTGAAACCAGAAAAACCTTTTAGTAAGTACATTTATAAAGCTGTTTTTAAGTATATAGGTTTTGAGAGAGGTAAATTAGGAAAAATTATAAATCCTAGTATATCATTTCTCTGCTTAGAGCCTTAAAAATTGATATTTTTTACTAGGACATCATCATGTATAATACTGGGGTACATTTTAACATAATCAAACATGCATGGAATATAATTTGCTCCCATTCAATTTCCAGTACTTTCCCTTTCTTTCCTTCTTCCCTCCTCCTTTTCCCCTTCCTCTACTCTACAGGTCTTGCACCATGAGAGAAGACATTCCACCCTTGACTTTCTGAGTCTGGCTTATTTCACTTAGCATGATAGTCTCCAGTTCCATCCATCTACCAGCAAATGCCATAATTTCATTCTTCTTTATGGCTGAGTAAAACTCATTGTGTATATATACCACATTTTCTTTATCCATTCATCTGTTGACAAGCACCTGTTCTGGTTCCATAACTGGGCACTCCAGTCAGAATGGCAATTACAAGAATACAAATAAATAAATGCTGGTAAGGATATGCGTTTATTGCTGGGGTGGGAGGTATACATTCATACATTGTTGGTGGAAATGCAAATTAGTACCACCATTCTGGAAAGCAGTGAGTGTGGAGAGTCCTCAAAAAAACTAGGAATGCAACCACCATATGACCCAGCTATCCCACTCCTTGGTCTTTATCCAAAAGAACTAGAATCAGCCTACTTTAGTGACACAGCCACATCCCAATGTCTATAGCAGCAGTCCCATTTCTGTCTATAACAGTCCCATTTCTCCTACCCCTGTTATGAAAACCTTAGTGAGTCAATCTGAATTTCTTGCCTGCTCTATCTTGGATTGATTTCTAAGAGATCTTTCTTCATTTTTATTTTTTGGCACCCAGGAATTAAATAGCTTTAATTACTTGGATCTGTACAGACTTGCTGACCTCTTTAACCTCACTTTGTTGGAGAAAGCAGTGATCGATTTCTTAGTGAAACATCTCTCTGAACTCCTGAAGAGCCGACCAGAAGATGTTCTAACGCTTCCTTATTGCCTGCTTCAGGAGGTCCTGAAGAGCGACCGCCTGACTTCTCTGAGTGAAGAGCAGATCTGGCAGGTAAGGGAGCTCTGCTTGGGTCCTCTGTTGGCATCAAGAGTGCAAGAGTGTGTGATGTTATTAGAAGTTAAAGGATTGTCACTGTACTGTTGTACATATCTAAAAAGAACCAATAAAGAAAAAAGAAATTATTGAGAAGCAATGACTATTATTTTATCTGGTTTGGTCCTCCATGGGGTCAACCTTTTAGAAGCCCTGCTCCCTTAATGGGCACATGATTGGAGAATACCAGCCCTTGAGGCTCCCAGATCTCAGCTCACTATGGGTGGTGTGGCCTAACGCAAGGCACTACAGGTGAGATTCCTTAGACTCACTGTGGCTTCCAGAAACTCTAACCCAGACATGTTAGAAAAAGGGAAAGGAGTTTTTTGTTTTGTTTTGTTTTTTTTCCTTTGTGGGGGAAATGTTTCTTGAACTGAAGATGAGAAGAATGGATTGTAAAGTGATATTTATGCATATTCAAGGCAAGTGGAATCAGAATAAATTCTGGATTTTCTTGTAAACAATTCAGAAATGTCTTTATTGTAATGGAGAACAACTTGGACCTCAAATGAAATGAAGTTCTGAAAAACTCTCCTTTTTTTTTTTTCTGGTTCATTCTGAGTTCATTGCCACTTTCCTAAGCCCTGCATTTTCGTCTGATAAAACATTCTTTACACATTGTGTCACTACTTTGTCTAGTAGATAGAGGGATGATTTGTGTTTTGACATCAGTTATCCAATTTGAATCCTCTTCTCATTCTTTTTTTTTTTTTTTAGTTGTCGATGGACATTTATTTATTTATTTATATGTGGTGCTGCGGATCAAACCCAGAGCCTCACACATGCCAGGAAAGTGCTGTATCACTGAGCCACAACCCAAGCCCCCTCTTCTCATGCTTGAATATCTACCTGGTGCTTTTGGGACACAGAGACCATGCTCCCCTTTCCTCTAATACTGTCTGTCTCACTCTCTGAAGCAATGGCTACCAGGGTGCCAGGCTTCAGGATTTCCTGATCATTTGAAAAATAGCTAAATGCAGAGTACATGGGAATAGTTCCAGTGCTCTGTTGGCTAATGAAACAATAAGTTCCTAAGATCTTATCAAATATATTCAGAGATTATTTTAATTCTGGCAAAAACCGAGTCTTGTAGAGCTGTTAATTATCCAACCATCTGATTCTATTGGATGATGATTCCTGATGCCTCTTTTGCTTCTTTCTTTCTATGAATTTCTTTAATCAGCAACCTCCTTCTTCATTATTTTGAATAATAAGAGCTACCTCCCTGATCCCAAGCTCTTTGCAACCTTAGTGACTTATCACAACAGGCCTAAAGAACAGCTATTACCAGCTCCATCTTCTAGATGATGAAATCAGGCTTCAGTGTCTGACTCAGAATTAGAGCCAAGACAGCCTTCAAATCCAGTTCTGCTGACACCTGCCCTATCTCTCCACTATTCCATACACTGTCTTGATTTTAAAAAAAAATCATAGTTTTTTGCTGTTTCTTGGGTATTTCTGGGGATGTTTATTTAAGCAGAGATTGGAAGTGTCATGAGGATATGATTTTAGTAGACATTTCAAACATAATCATCTGAATTTACTTTGGACAATTCGCAGTGGGAAATAGCCAAATTTTCTTCATTTCCCAAGGGAAAAAGAAAGACTTGGGATGAACTCTGTATTTAATTTTTCCTAACTGAATTGAAATCTGAGTCCAACCATCCTTGTGGCATCTATCTCCTATTGTAGAGAATAAGAGAAGCACTGCCAGCAATCAACATGGAAATTTGCAGACGTCTGAGTGTCAAGAAAATTCCATACTGTCCACTTAAGAGTTATCATAATTGCCTCTCTAAAGGTTACTAATGTTATAATGTAGAATTTTCAAAACTGGTTTCTGCTGCAGGCAATAGTTATTTTTTAGACCTGGTACTCAAGGAAGAATTAAAAGACTCACATAAATATTATCAATTTAGGCATTCAGCAGGCAATAAGAAACTGTTTTTGCTTTATCTTAGTAACTAAGTAATTCCCTCATACTCAACTCAATAGAGAAAAATCAAATCAGACCAGCTATATTGCCTCAAGTATAGTTAAGTTCATCATTTTTGCTGAGGTTATACTAGTAATGCAATATACCATGGAAGAATCTAATATTCAGCCCAGGGTGAAGATTGGGTATGCCAGAGGATTAGTGTCAGGGTGCTTTATAGAAGTGAAACTTGATGGACAGGCTGGAGACAGATCTACAGAATCTCATTAAATAGCTGAATTGTTCATTACGAAACGTTCTCACTGTAATAAAGTGCTCATTGACTTTGACAAATCCCCATCCTATGTCTTAAAAAGAACAGTGAGGCAGAGGGTGTTGAGGAGGAGAAAGGAAATTGGCACAAAGTAGGACAGGTAATAGCAAAGCAGATGGAAGGGTAGTGCTATTTGATTAATATGTGAAACTGGTAGCTTAGGTGAGAGCACAGTAAACATGCACTGCGTTTACCCAGGTGGCAGTTACACTGTGGGCTGACAATGTAATCTGGGACAATCCCTTTTTTGGTGAAAGTCTAATTTTCATTATTCACCAGACTTCACACAGTCTGGCTCTGAAGACTTGTCATAAGAATCTTCAAATTATCCTCACTGAACAAACACTTTTTTTTTTTTGCTTTTTCCTTTCTGCTGGTACTTACCCAGTCCCTTTCCTTGATAAAATGTGCTATAGGCTGCAGTAACCATACCATTCTGTAAGTCCATGAGTCTGTAAAATGCCCCAAGATTCTGCTTTACTTTTCTCTTTTTCTCCATTTTTCCCTCATGAACAATTATTTTCTTCTTTTCCCTAAACTACTTAGTCTGGTGGTTAACTTTACTCTGTGTTCAGAGGTAATATAAAGACTTGCACCACAGTCACACCTTAGATGTGTAAGGATATAGAAGTACTCTCCAAAAATATTGCTCTTTTAAAAAAATTCAGTTCAATTTGGTTCAACAATTGAGTTTTGTATGTATAAGGCCAGTGATTTCTCCCCAAAGTGGCTAGTGGTTACTGGTTGAAAAGAAAGACAAGACTGATGGGTCCATTGGCACTTGCTCATAATCCCAGGATTTGGGAAGGCTGAGTCAGGAGGATCAGAAGTTCAAGGCCAGTGTCAGCAATTTAGGGAGACTATCAGTAACTTAGTGAGACCCTAGGGTCTTAAGTTAAAAAGGACTAGGGATGTAGCTCAGTGGAAAAGTGCCCCTGGGTTCAATTCCCAGAACAAGAAGGAAAAAAAAACAACAACAAAGAAAGGCAGCTAAAAATGAGCAATAATTATGAGGCATGAGGTCACTAATATTTTTGACCTGGTGAATCTCCACCAGTTTTATTTTTCTTTCATGGTGTATCTCTAATTTAGAACTTTGTTTTGATAGGGTCCTGTTAAATATCTTGTGTGAGATTCAACATATAATTTCAGATACTGAGCTGAGATCCTGCCCCAAGTAACTGAGTGATAGAAGAAATGAGGAGATGCTGGCAAAAGAGCACAAACTTTTTTTTTTTTTTTTGTAGTGCTGGGGATTTAACCCAGGGCTTCATGCATGCAAGGCAAAGCACTATACCAACTAAGCTATATCCCCAGCTCAAGAATACAAAACTTTGAGTTATGAGATGAACTAGACCTGGAGATTTAACATACAACTTGGGTGGGAATGAATATATTCATTAATTTGGCTGTGGTAATCGTTACATGATATGTACAGGTATCAACGTCACATTGCACACCTTGAATATATACAATCCAAATTTGTCAGTAAAATAGTTTGAATAGAATTTTTTTTTGTAGTTTTGGGGGATCAAGCCCAGTTAAATAGTTTTAAATAAATAAATAAGCCAGAATATGGCAACTCTTCATTTAAAAGAAAATCTCAGAAGGAAATTATTCCATACCACTCCAACACTTTAGACCTGTGTTCATTTTCACAGGAAGCACTCCCAGTCTTACTTTTCTTCTCAGGAAAGTATATCCCCAGCCTCTTTAACCTCAGATTCTCTTTCACCAGATTAAGAGGAAGACTACCACATTTCATGAGAGTATAGTTTATAGAAAATGTCTTAATATAGCATAAATGCTTAGACAAACTAGCATTGGGAAAGGTTTGGATTTCCATCCATCTATTAGTGTTTATTGAACACCTATGAACTGCCCTAAACCATTCTGGAGTTGATGGCAGAGAACAGGTTTGCTAACCCCATTTCCCTGTTCCAGAAGAGGGATCCTTATGATTTTAAGACTGTAAGACAGCTCTCCAAATTATTAGTTCATCTCTGAAATAGCAGAGTATTTTGGAATAGATAGTTTGTGGAAATAAAAATGAATATTTCTTGAACACCTATTGTAGCCAGGCATAGGGTTTCAAACTAGATCCCTAAAAAGCTTTACCAAAATATTGAAGATTAAATTAGAGAGATGTATTTTACTTTCATCTCTGAATGTGGAAACATTTTTATTTTCCTTTGATTATTATTAATTTGCTATTTCCCACTTTTAGTAGGAAAGGATTTATTATTTTGTAAGTACTTTCCTTCCTTGGTTAACCTTGGAATCTTATAAATTAATTATTATTAAGTTGCTATTTCCCACTTGTAGTAGGAAAGGACTTTTATTTTGTAAGAATAGTACTTTTCTTGATTGCCCTTGGGATCTTATCAATGCTTGTCTTCCTTTATTAACCTTAGGTTTGAGAGCACCTCTTATTTATATTTGGAGCCTAACTTTGCCTGGACTTATGTGGATAATAATAATAAACAATTCATTGTATGTTGTCAAACAAGGTCAGACTTCAGCAGAGAGTCTGTTTTATCCTAGTTATGTCCCATTTTAATATGTCAAACGGGGTTCATGTAATCTGTTTGAGGGTTGGGTGTGGGGGTAATCCTGTTTACATTTGTCTTTGATTATCTACTCCCAGAGGTTTAGGCTGAACCCATAGTGTTTACATTGTGCATTGCCACATAATCCCCTTGCACTCCA